TTGCTTCTACTTGCACGATGTCAGTAGCTAACTATAACAAACAACTTCCGCCATTTATCTATAAAACACAGTGCAGAATGCCAAAAATCATATTATCATATCATGATGTTTATCAGATTTTAAAAAACCTAAATCCGCACAAAGCAGTTTCGGACGAGTTAACTATAAAAATTGTAAAAGAATCCGCTCCCGTGTTAGCTCCAGTTCTTGTTGATTTATGCAACGAGAGCCTAAGTTCCTCAACATTTCCAAATTGTTTCAAACTAGGACAGATTTGCCCTATTCATAAAAAGAATGATAAACATTTAATTAACAACTATAGACCCATTACACTCTTACCCATTTTGGGCAAAGTAATGGAGAGAGTCATCTTCAAATACCTATATTCTTATTTATTTAACAACAAACTAATCTCTACTAACCAGTCTGGCTTCGTTAAAAAGGACTCATGTGTTAACCAACTAATCACACTCATTCACTACATTAACGAAGGTATAGAGGATAACAAATTTGTGAGAGCCGTTTTTTTAGATTTTTCGCGTGCGTTTGATTCAGTTTGGCATAAAGGACTGCTGTACAAACTAAGACAAAAAGGTGTATCAGAACAAGTTATACACTGGCTAAAAAGTTATTTGCATTTAAGAAAAATTAGGACAGTAGTCAACGGCTGCGCCTCAGACGAAGAGATCATCAACTGTGGTGTTCCTCAGGGGAGTATCCTTGCCCCTCTACTGTTTCTTATATTCATTGATGACCTTGGAGATAGCTTAGAATGTTTATTAAAATTATTTGCTGACGACGCTACACTGCTCGATACCCACACATCATACGCATATTCTACTAACAGACTAAATAATTACCTAATCAAAATAGTTAATTGGTGTGACACATGGCAAATTGATATAAACATAGGCAAAACTAAAGGCATGACATTCGTGAGAAACCTAGCACATTTAAAACAATACAGTCTCCCTCTATTCATAAGAAATCAAACTTTGGTAGAAGCAATGCTGCTCAAACACTTAGGTCTATCACTGACACCTACCCTATCGTGGGATACTCATGTGAGCGAAGTGCTTGGTAAAATAAACCATACCCATAACTACATGAAGTTAATAAAATGGAATGTTAACAGAGCAGCACTTGATATTGCATATAAAAACTTCCTCCTTACAGTGATAAGTTATGGCAGTGAACTGTACTCATTAACAACACGAAAAAACTTAGATAAATTACAATCAGCCCAGTATCAAATTGCTTTAAGGGTGACAGGGGCTATGAGCGGCAGCGATACTAACAAAGTACTTAAAGATCTCGGATGGCTCTCTGTCAGAAACCTATTCGAAGTAAATCACATGTGCATGTTCTTCAAAATTAAACACAGTCTAGTTCGCGTGCATGCGCAGGATCTTATCCGTTTTTTACCGCAAAATGCTCACCATTATCTTCGTAGTAATACTAGATATAGTATGTACGCCTACGGCGATAAAAGCCCCGCTTTTCAAGATTCTTTTTACCCAACTATGATCCGGAAATGGAAAGAACTTACTATAAAATCACCGTCGTTATGTGTAAAAAAAAAAAGTTCTATATTCAGAAAAGAGCTGAGAATTAGCTTAATAGGCAGCCATTTAAAAATACCATCGACATCTCGCCGACGCACAGAAGCCCTCTTTTGCCGCTTAAGAGTAGATTTTCCGCAGTTAAACTTTTATCTGTTTCAAAGAAATTATGTTCCATCTCCCTACTGCCTCCACTGTTTATCTCTGTCTCCACCAGTGTCTTTTAAAGAAGACTCTAATCATTTTCTATTTGATTGCCCAAACTATACTTCGCATAGAAACGTCTTGATTAATCAATTCAAAATACTAAATATTCCATTTAATAGAAATACCATTCTATTAAGATCATCCTTGAACAAAACTAACTACTTCAAAATATATGAAGCAGTCTGCCAATTTATAACTAGCACCGCACGTTTTAAATAATTTCGCAATTCCATCGTGCTACCAAAACTTCCGTTTCGCGTCTACTCCTATGATTCTCGCTCTCACATATGGTACCTCAACTGAATGAATGCTCTTCCTCTCATATATTGTCATACTGTATTCCCTTAAATTAGTCAAACTCTTTCTCTTTCTGGTCTTTCTTTCTCTTCTACTATCCATTTTCTTCTTCGTTAATTTTCCGCAACGATATAAACTTGAGATTTCTTAGTCATGTATTAAAGCAAACTATGAACATGAAATGGGACAGCTGTCTCGATTTGTTCTGTAATTCATTGAAATAAAAAAAGTTTATAAAAAAAAAAAGCAACTTTAAAACATTTAAAAGAGGAGAATGATAATTAATTAATTTGATTTCAATCAAGGCATACTTAGAAAATTATAAAAAAAACGTACTATTTCGATAGGGAAATAAGACATTTGCTTTTTCTTAATAATAGTTTATTATTTACAGTTACTGATCCTGTGTTGTATACTTTTAACCTTTTAAAAAAACATTTTGTTTACGCTAAACAATTGAGAAAGATCTACGCTTCTTTTTACAACAATAATAAGTCTTTTTTCTTCTCTTTAGTTGATAATGTCATCTCCAAGTGTACACAGCTTCACCCTCACCCTCACTTTCGTCACGTATGTCGAAAGTCTTTTTTCTATGTGACGAGAATTAACGTGACGAAAGTGATATCACCCAAGGGGAAAAAAAGCGGACTTCAGGACTCTTGGGACTTCTCTCTTCAGGACTTTGGGACTTCATGGGGCACCCGGATTTCGTGAAGTCCCATGAAGTCCAAAAATCTGTATCAAGTTTTTGACCCTGATATAATACAGAAAAAAGCCTTTGTGCTAAGTCCTGTCCCATTCCCCCACAATGTGCGTTTTTTCAAACTCAAAGTTAGAAGATAAAGAGTAGATAGGAGAACAATTAGATTAAAAAGATAGCTGTTTCTCGAGAAAAACTCTTCATATTATTTTTCAAAAATTTATAATTTGAAAGAGGAATGCTTTTACGATGTGAAACTTAGGTCCAGAAGTAACTTTGGACGAAGAACTGAATGAACATAGTTAAGTAAAAAGTTATTTTTTCTCATATACTACGAACGATAACAACTGATAATCAGAGATGTAATCAGTACCGGCAACCGGCCAAAATTTTTGACTGGTCGGTCGGCCTATCGGTCAAATGAAAATTAATTTGACCGACCGGTCAGGAAAAGAAACTTTATTCGTCGGAAAAATCAGTATTTCGTCGAAAACGAATTTGTCGAGCTGTGTTTTCATATTTCAGATTAGAAATATTACTGTCCGTTTTAATAAAGAATGTGTGTGTGTGACTGTTTTTTAAATGGTATTTTATAAAAGACAAATGAAGATCTGAAATTCTTAGCATTTATATTATTTGAAATTTTTAGGTCAAAATACTAATTCTAGACTGAAACATGAACATTTTTAGGCAAAAAATCAGATGAAAAAAGTAGGAAAAATCACAGCCTGTTTGCTTCTTTGGAATTGTCGCAAAATTTAATAAATGGAAACGTTTCTACATAGATAACATTTTTCAAATGTGCGTTTTTAAAGACCACCTGTATCCTCATGGAAAAAAATTATGTTTTCATAATTTTCTGTTTAATTATAACAGCGTCCGACATTTGTACCATTACAAAAAGAAATGTGTAACTACTGTTCGTTTTAAAAAGGAATGCAGATGGTTGTTTTTTAAATTGTATTTTATAGTAGTGGGGGAATGGGAAAATGTTATTAACCTAAAAACCCAGAGATTTTGGAAAGTAGGAAAGTGTATTTAAACTTTTTTCGTTTTCTTTTGTTTTACTTCCGTCATAAATACCTTTTTTTCTTGTTCTGTTTTGCTTGTTATAAGAAAAATAGATTGAACTGCTTGCTCTTTTTCTTATTTCTGTTGCAGTACGTTATCGTGGAGTGATGTGTACGTTGGAAGAAACCAGCGAGAGATTGAAGAATGAAATAATATAGAATTTCATAGTGTATGACAGAAATATATAAATCCTGCGAAATATAATACGTTTCTTTCAAAAGCAGTAAATATAATCAAAATTTTTTCGAACTGGTGAGTTTTAAATACGAAACTGGTTGAAGAACGACAGATATTACTGCTTTAAAAGGGTTTTCCTTTATCGCAACGTAAACTGAAAATTGTCCGTAAGATTTGGTGACCATAGATTATAGTTCCATTTCCATAGAAAATGGGTCCATCTATTCCTCATTGGCTTAAGTTAAAAGAAGTAACTCTAGGTCAAAAACTAATGCAGGAAGAAGAAGCAAAATGAAGAAGACTCTTCTCTTTGTAAACTTTTGGTCGGTGAGATCAACTATTAATATCTGCGTGCAGATTGATAATAATGATTTTTCTAATGCACTTGCACTGCAGTAAGCTGGAAAAGGCGAAAGAGAGAACTCGTCAGAGTTACTTGAGAAGATCTCAACAAAAACAGAGTTCCTATTCGAAGTGTTCGCTGTATGTATTAGATACCATCATCAATACAATTTGATTGATGTTCGTCAGCTAAAGCCACCTTTTCGACACTCAAAACAAAGCTCTTTGTGTCTTCTTGTCGTTACTCATCGTATTTCATTTCTGTAACACTTTGTTCAGGAAAATAAGTTGTATATATGAGACAGTGAGGGATCTACCAAAGTCTTGTTTGTTTTTCTTTTCAGCTTATTTTTTCTTTTCAGCTTATTTTTTCTTTCTAAAGTTCAGTTATAACACTTAATTTTTTTGAAACAATATCGTAGTTGGAACTGACATCAGACATCAGTTAACGAGGCTTATCACGAGTTCCTGAATAGAAAATCAGAATCTTTCTCTTCAATTAATCTTATCTGAGAACTATTACATAATATAATTTTATTTACTACTATTAGTTTTGTAAAACTATTAAAAAAGAATTGGTATTCTTCAACAGATGAAACTGATTATTTTTAGACTTTATAGAAATTCCCTAGCTTCTACAAATTATGTCAGACGAAAAGGATGTCAACAAAGTTAGAGCCGGTGTTCAACAAATTCTACAGTATATACAATCGTTTTTGGAAAAATTAAAATTACAAAAACGAGAACAATTCACGTTAGGATTGTTAAATGAGAGAAAGAATTCAACCACCAGTGAAAGTCTTCTAATCAATTGTCTCACGAAAGTTAACACATTTGATGATTATGAAAATGCACTGTTAGAACTAACTCATCTGGTTGAGATGCCATTGAACAGTTTTATACCATTTCTTAGCAATCCTTTTATTCAACTTCTCAAAGAATTTTCTTTTGCTATTGTTGAATATTTAATTAAATACTCAACAATAGCAAAAGATCCAATCTTAGCAGCTGAATATAACAATGTTGTAAAGAACGGGCCCGGTCTATCCTTAAATATAGGATAATTTGTAATCAAATTGATAACACCTTTTAAACTACCGTGAATAATATCTTGAAATACGTCTAAAAATGGTAATAATCCATTTAATTCATAACGAAGTAAATGTAAAAGACTTGCTTTTAATGGTGCTAGGAATGAACGACGATCATAGTCATAGTTATATCGATAGAAAAAATCTTTGAGAAATTGAATAAAAGGATTGCTAAGAAATGGTATAAAACTGTTCAATGCCATCTCAACCAGTTGAGTTAGTTCTAACAGTGCATTTTCATAATCATCAAATGTGTTAACTTTCGTGAGACAATTGATTAGAAGATTTTCACTGGTGGTTGAATTCTTTCTCTCATTTAACAATCCTGACGTGAATTGTTCTCGTTTTTGTAATTTTAATTTTTCCAAAAACGATTGTCACAAGTCGACGAAATCAGTAGGGTTTGAAAAAGGCTCCTTCCTTTAGATGCCACATAGCTAACTTTGTTCACAATGCTCAGAAATACATCCTTGCAAATTTTCAGCTAAAAAGCTAAGGCAGATT